TTTCACTATGTCAGACTCACCACCGGTAAGTGGGGGCAAGTACATAAACATATCACCAGAATGATTGACAATTAGGAGAACCACTTATTTTGATAATCCACTACACCTTTAAGTAAAGACTGATGTTAGCATTTGATTCTATATTCAAAAAATTTGTTATCGAACTGAAAATGCTATTTTAGAGACTAAAAAATAATGGATATAGAAAAATAGCAAAGTTGCAAGATAATACATTTAAAAATCTTTTTATTTTAAATAAACCTTTTATACATTACCTACTTGTAATAGGTAATGTAAAAATGAGTACCGCTAATCAAAAAACTCTAACATACATATGCCCATGTCCTAAATAGTATGTGGTTGCATCAGCAATCTTCCACAGTGTGGAATGTAGAGCAGCAGCATATCTGCGGCTAAGAAGAAAAGGTTGATCAGTTCATTAAGAAGTACAGATCTGTCCAGGGATGCCCCCTAAACACAGTGCACATGGGGGAAGACATTATTACAAGAAAAATTATTTTATTGTTGGAAATGTCTCCCAACACATCCAAAAAGCCGTTACAAAACTGGAGAGCTCATTCAGTGACAGGCTGTTGGATCATAGATGCACAAAAAGAGTTCATCTCTTTTAATGTATAATTGGTTAGCATGGTTTTCCTTCCTGAGATGTCTTTATTTTTGTCCTCTGCTACAGATAAACTTTTTAAAGGTTTTCTTTAATTTTTATTTTATTTTGTTTGTATTCTTGCCACTATCACACCCGATTCCCCTAATGGGAAATCTGGTATTACTACTGTCCTCATCTTCTTCATTCACTAAAGTAGTGGTGAAAGAATAGTGAAAACAGTTCTGTAGAGAAAATTACACATTCTTTCAAAAATTACTCAAGTTAACATATATGTAATATGTAACTAATTACTACCCACCTACGAGTGAGTGTACAGTTTGATGTTACCTATTCCAGGACCTTTTCTAGTATCTTTATAAACCTCCAGAAAACCAGCACACTTTAAACCAAAGTCTGGTCCTAATAAAGTGAACCCTCATCTTAAACTTTAGGAGGTGGGTTTAGAGGTATTGTGTGAATTAAGTTGAGGTTCAGGTTAAGGTCATAGTTAAGATGAATTGGTAATGGATAGGGTAAATGATAGGGTTAAATATTAAAGCAGTAACTAAACTGAAAAGCAGTTAATTTGAAGTTTAAATCCTGGTAAAAATACAAACTTATATGTGTATGTATGTATTTTTTTGTATGTTTTAAATTAACTCTAAAAATTACACTATGATAATTGCTTAAATTTGATAATCCATATATATATTTTAGAGGCTGCTGATCTTGCACTACTTATATTTCTAGGTTACAATAATCATTTACTTGCATCCATTCATTGATAAACCTACTTTCAGATGCTAAGTTTTTCAGGATGCATGCTTTCACTTGATTCTGATGAGGCTTTAACTCCAGATGCCAATTGATCCTTCAGTCTCTGCTCAATTTTTTTTTCTATCTTCCATACAAATCTGCTTTTTCTTGCTCAGTCTTTTGTACCAGAAGGGTTAATGTATTATACAAAGTGTTCAGATTCAGGGATTAGATCACCCCCTCCAATTCCATCAGTCAATTCCTAGTGCTCTCCAGGGCATTCATCATTTTGACAGTTGCAGATAAGGCAATTATTTTCCTCAAGCAACTACAAAATGTAGACAAGTGCTTCTGTGACAGTGTGACTGTTTGAGAGGGGGGAACACAAATATTATTGCAGCAGTCAATGACGGCACGTGTCGCTTGCTACAAAGCGCATGTTCTTTGTAACACAAAGGGAAACATGTTTCCAGCACTTCAAGTGTCCAAATAGTACATTTTATTTCATTTAATGAAATACTGCCTTGTTTTGAAGTTTATAATCGGGTAAATTATTACAGGTTCGCTGATGCACAATGTGTAAAAACAATTAAACTTTAAATTTGAATGCCACTCATTAGTATCCAAAACAGCAGAACCCCAAATCTGAATAGAGATAAAAGACTGAGCTTTTTCTTTTAAGTTTTAATTTCTAAAATGGCCTTTATTTAAAAATAATCCCTAACATCTTATCCTACTCTGAGATATGTCCCTGAGCTTATGTTGAAGCTGAATCAATCTTTTCTGAAGCATTAAGGTAACTTCTTCTCTAGGAGCCCCTAGGGGGCAGCAGAAGACCTTAATTTTAGCAGATGGTACTGCTTAACACTGACTTACACCACTGTCACTTTACTGCAAGACTCAAGTCAGGGAGCGATTCATGCAGCTGGTAAATCTTTTCTAAGGAAACAATAAAGTTTTCTGTAACAAACAAACAAACAAACAGAAAAAGATCTGAAAGGAGCCTGAACATAGTTTAAATGAGTGCAGCATACTTAGAGGTAAATGTAACACTGTAAAAATGGACATTAAAGAAAAAAAGATTTGTTTTTGATGGTGCTTGGCCTGCTATATTAGTATGCAAAAGAAAAGTCAAGAAGTTAAGTTAGTCAAGAGAAAAAGTTTCAGTTAATTCCTTGTACAGATCTCGGCAGAAGAAACTGCTGAATCCTGAATCTGTTTTTCATTTAGAGTACCTCTCTTGTAAGAAGTGAGGTCTGGGAATGACAGACTGACATGACTTCTCCCAGTTTCCAGTAAAAAAAAAAAAAAGGATTTGTTAGTTGCTATTATTTTTTATTCATTATATCTTATTTAACCTTTACTTAACTAGATAGGTTAGTTAATACCTTATTACAAAATACATACATTTATTTATTATAAGCTTTTTCCACCACGTTTAGCACCTAAAGCTATTAGAGTCATGCTATTATGCATTAGGACCAAATAGCTTGTTTTCATGAATTTAGCATTCTGTACAGAGAAAGAATAAAAAATACAAATCTAACTTGGAACCTATTTATTCACCTTATAGCATTTGTTTGTTATTTTTTTAAAGGTATATACTTTTCAAAGATGTATAATTCTCAGATATTTGTATCAAAATATATACATTTTCAATTTTAAGGTTAAGTATTAACACAACTATCAAATAGTACAAATATTTAAAAGCCGTAAACAAATCAGGTATTTTACACCTTAAATATATTTCAGCGTATATTATACATGATCTATGATGGAATGGTGTCCTGTGCAGAGCGTTCTCCACTTTTTACCCAAAGTTGGATTGTTGTATGGGTAAATTATCTATCCAAGAAATGAAATAAGTCCTGAGCTGCACAGCCTTACGACGTTTCTTAAGAAGTAGAAAAATAAAACAACAGAAAGAACAAAAAAACAACAACCTCAGAATCTATAATAATGAAAATACTATTTAGTATAGTATATATAGTAGTCATAATACAATTAGTGAATATAATCATTCTAGTAATTTGCATTTTATAGCAGTATGCAAGTGCATTTATACATATATATGTACTGTATGTATGTGTATATATATATATATATATATATATATATATATATATATATATATATATATATATATATATATATATATATATATATATATATATATATATATATATATATATATAATGAGCATAGCTAAGACTATGCTAGGCTAGAGCTTCACCTGAAACAGCTACAGCACGTTTTCTTTAACCAATAACCTTTTAACTTGGATTTAAAGCGTAATGTATCTAGAGTCAGGTCAAAGCCAGATAGCTATGGAAAACATAATCTGAAGCAAAATCTCACTCTTACAAGAAACATATGAAAAGTGGACCTTTTTTTAAATTTGTGTAAGAACATTTTATCTAGATATCCAGTCCACAGATTCTCACATAGGAAAATCCCCCTCTTTGTAAACTTGAATGTGAAAGAGAAATATCTGCTATGTAAAATGACCATGATTGCATGCACATGTCCTAAAATACATTTGATGTGTGCAAACAACAAAACATTTATATATATATATATATATATATATATATATATATATATATATACGGTATATACAATATATCCTTTGTAAGAATTCAGAGGTTTTGGGACCATCTGCTGGTCCGGAGACCATACGCAGTGGTTTTGTTTTCTTGTCCCTCAGGCCAACTTTGGATGTGTCTTTATGGATTAAGCAACAAAAGATTCACCCTGCACTCTTAAATACTTCTAAAATATTCCAAGATTGTGTACCAGAATAAAAGCACATTTTGGCTAAACTTCAGTAATGAGAACAGAGATGAGGAGGAGGACAAGTTAAGGGAAAGCTCAGATGAAAGAGGTGAATTTGTTTTTCCATCGGTCAGCACATTTTCATGACCAACGTGTTCCTCCTTAAAAATCTTTTTCATGCAAATTGTCCAATATAGGACTAAGCATTGACCTGTACTTAATATGTCTGAAGAAAAAAGTTGTTCATCTTTGACACTAAAAGCAAAAATATTGCTTAGAAATATTCTTGATTAGTTAGAAACAACTCTCTTAACTGTTTCATTAATTAAAAAGGATTTTGTGAATATCAAAGGCAAATTGACGACAAGGAACAACGCAAAAAAAGGAAGTGACAAGTGAAATCAAAAATGTTTGACAACACCAATCATCAAAAACAGTGAGTAGAGCAACATTTCTATGTTCTGTTAGGCTGCTATTTGAGGAAACAGAGAAAACATGAGGAACAAATAACACATAATAAAAAAAAAAGGCAGCTTTTCTTTTCTTAAACAATTAAAATAGTCATTCAAAGACCAGCAAAAGCTTTGTATGGCCGCCTGAACTGAGCTACTAATAAATAATAATAAATCATATACGGAAAGAAGGCCAAGGCCTTTATGGGAAGAGCCACCCATATATTGACTGCACATCATAGCAGTCCTCGTCTTGTAGGCCGCATTATAAATCCTGTTTCCAAAAGATATACGATATGTTTGAAGTGTAGGAGCTGCCTCTACTTTCCTGTCCAAACTGTTTCAGAATTTCATAAGTTTCAACTACCAAAATAATATACTTATACTTGTAACATTTGAAATTAACTTACCTCTTATTTTGTACAAAGTGTCAGGCCTTCTTGTGTGTGTCTTACGGGACGTATGATGCTATTAATGAATCAGGGAGCTTGTGCAGATTTTTAGGGGTGAAAAAAAATGTTTCAAAGACACAAAGGAAAAGAGAGAGAGCGAGAGAAAGGCAGACAGGGAAAATAATCAGTTAAGAGATGAGAAGCGGAGAATTCAAGCTGAACAAGGGGTCGCCCCCTAAGAAAGTTTCATTTGTAGAAACACATGGAGTCTTTTATTTGTAAAACAAATCAGGAGCCTCAAGGTTTATCTCAACATTTATTGATAAAAAATGACAGGAAGCGTTTTTTTTACAACTCTGGGATTTTAAAAAGATTATGCTTAAACACATAAGCTGTATTTTGTTGTTAAAACTTGAAAAGAAAGCAGCTGAAATATCTCTTACACTAAACAAGATCAATTCTAAATGGTTATTTGTCTACTTAAGGGGAAGCAAAGTTTAAAAAAAATAAGAAATCAGCATTACATTAGCATTACATTGTCCTAAGTTTAGACAATACTTTATATGCATGTGTACTCCTATATCTATTCATCTCTATATTAGTTTGAAAGTTTTGGTCAGTTCAGATTAATTTTATATCCTTGTAAAAATCAGACCATTTATATTTGTTGAAACAGTAGAACTGTAATAATGCCAGGGTTCAATTAATCAGTGTATGGGATTGCTTGCATTGAGCCAAACGATACGAAATTGAGAAAAAATAAAAAGTATCAACAACAATGTTAATAAAATAGTATGTGGAGATGAGAAAATGTTACCACAATTCTAAGAGAGCAAACACTAGCAACAGAAAGGATTCAAAATAAGTATCAATTTCATTTAGAGGTGATGAAAAACATCTACAGAATTAAAATTCAATTATAAATGCTAATACTATAGGTAAGTTATAAATGTTAAATGAAGAAAAAGCAATAATATGGATCAAAATAACGGAGAACGAATAAGAGCCAGGTTTAAACTGTGTGTCTTTAAATTATTTCCAAAAACAGTAATACCATCTGCCCTCTGGTCCTAATTAAGGCTGTTCTACAGGTGGGAGCCATATTTAATGATGGAGCCTCATCTTGACCTTTACTTTTTACTTAAAGTACTAATAGAGACTGAGCCCAAACCAAACCCAAACCTGAACCCTGCAAAGCTCTATGATGTAAATCATGCTACCCTTGTTAAACTTTAGCTAAATGAATGTATTATAATGGGGGATGTACATGGAATTTAATATGCATCATGCACAAAACACTAATATTTAGAATTCAATCACAAAATATGACATATTTTCACACTCTGTATATCATACGTGTGCAACTAACTCAACACTTATGCAATTAGTTCTATATGTGTCCAGCTTTGTATGTTGAAAATGTTAGATCCATCGATAGGACCTGGAGAGAAGCAGGGCCAACTTAGCTTAAACACACTATTTCATAATTTGTGAAGTATGATGGTACAGTGTAGGTTGAAAATCTGAGGAATAAGAATAGCAAAAGTTTAGAGAAGTACAGAAAAGGGTAAATTAAATTTGAACAGATGGGTTTTACATTAACTATATGTTTATTGTCTATAATGTAATTAAATCAGTAAAACCTTAATGTTTAACTTTTTGCTTTAATCTTACATGAGAGTCTGCAATGTTAACCAAGTTCCTTCAACACACTATGAATAAACTTTTAACCTGAAATTAGAGAGTATATTTGTAAATTTCCATCAGTTTTAATCAAACATGCTTGGTCCATCATTTAAATCAACAGTTTTAATCTACATTTGTCATTTTTAATATAAGGTGTATAAATATACATTTTTCAAGAGGAAAATTGTAATTTTACAACATTACTATGTTGTTTTTAAGTAAATGTTGTACAAATGGATCTTTAAACATGCCTTTCAGTTGTCTATGCTCTATGCACAACTCCACTACTTGCTGAACTTGGGGCAGCTCTTTTGTTTCCTGTCTTTTTCTACCGGATGAACTGATTAATCCAGGTGTGAGCTAAGTAACCATGGCCAGACACACCTGGATTAATCAGTTCACCCAGTAATCAAAGACAGGAAACAAAAGAGCTGCATTAAGTTCACAAAGCATTGGAATTGTGGATAGAGCCCATTATTTTCACATTACAATTTTAAAATGTATAAACATAACTTTGTGCATAAAGAGATTTTAAGGAATTGTGTTTATCTAAATTAAAGTAACTTTTGGCTAATTGTAAAAAAATACAGTGCCTTGCGAAAGTATTGGGTTTGCAAAAAAAGCTGGAGCTCAGTGACGTTGGATGGAGAGCATTTTTGAACAGCAGTTTTCAATTCTTCCCACAGATTCTGGATTGGCTTTAGGTCTGAACTTTGACTAGGCCATTCTAACACCTGGATATGTTTATTTGTGGACCATTCCATTGTAGATTTAGCTTTATGTTTTGGATCATTGTCTTGTTGGAAGCTAAATCTCCATTCCAGTCTCAGGTCTTTTCAGACTCTAACAGGTTTTCTTCCAGAATCTTCCTGTATTTGGCTCCATTCATGTTCCCATCAATTGTAACCATCTTCGCTGTCTGTGCTGATGAAGAGCAGGCCCAAACCATGATGCTGCCACCACCATGTCTGACAGTGGGGATGGTGTGTTCATGGTGATGAGCTGTGTTACTTTTATCCCAAACATAACATTTTGCATTGTTGCCAAAAAGCTTGATTTTGGTTTCATCTGTCCAGAGCACCTTCTTCTACTTCCACATGTTTGTTGTCTCTCCCAGGGTTGTTGTGGCTACCTTTAAACATGACTTTTTGTGGATATCTTTAAGAAATATCTTTCTTCCTTAAAGGCCAGATCTGTGCAGTATACGACTGATTGTTGTCCCATGGACACAGTCTCCCACAGTCTCTGCATTTCATCAAGAAGGATCATGGGCCTCTTGGCTGCATCTCTGATCAGTCTTCTCCTTGTGTGAGCTGAAAGTTTAGAGGTACTTCGGGGTCTTGATAGATTCGCAGTGGTCTGATACTTCTTCTACTTCAATTTTATTTCTTGCACAGGGGATATTTAAAGCTTTTGTATCCAAATCTGACTTTAAACTTCACAACAACAATATCTTGGATGCTGCTGTGTGTTCCTTGTTCTTCATTGTGCTCTCTACACTTTAAACAGACTTCTGAGAGACTTGATTACACACAAGCGAATTCTTTTATCATCATAATTCATTTTGGTCAACATCGGATCATTCAGTTTAAAAGTTTAAAATATCCAATAAATTTCCTTTCAGTTCATGATTTTGATCCACTTTTTGATTTTTCACAAAGGATTATAATCCTATATCTTTTTAAATAAAGCCTAAAATGTGGCAAAAGTTTGAAAAATTGAAGGGGGACGGATACTTTCCTAAGGCACTGTAAATAGATAGAAAAAGTCAGAGATATTGAAGGCTGTAATACAGATTAAAAACAAACAAATACATCTGCTCTGCAGGTACTTAACTCGGGTTTCGCCCTATCCTAAGCAAAAATCTAACTGCTTAAACAGTTAAACTAAAAACATTGGCATAAACTGACAAACTATCCCTGCTTGCTCCTGCTGCACTGAATGGCTACATCACACACCTGCACTCTATTACTTATCAGTGCAGTGATAACACTCCCAGGCTCAAATCCTATATTCCACCCTATAGTTTCCTTTGGGGCACCTTACATCTATGGCTATTAAACAGAAACTGATAGAGGATGGAAAGAAGCAAAAATAAGAAGTAAGAAGGTTTCTTTTCTTCTTTGATTTGTCCAAACATTAAAATAATAGCAGAAACTCCCATACTCTGTAAAGATGTCTGAATCACTTCCACATACAGAATGCTTGAAACAGCAAATAAAACATTCTGCTTGCTGTACTTAATCACTAATGAGGCAAACGATTTCTACTCAGCCCACCAGTTAATTCCCCTTTATAGGAGAAAAACAAATCTTGATCCTCATACACAGACACTTTTCAGAGCAAGTGTGCACTAAAAGTGACACAGATACTTAAGACACAACAGGACTTGATCCAACCATCCATCCATCCATCCATCCATCATAAAAAGATACACAGCCATGCACACACACATTCACACCTAAGGACAATTTAGAGAAGCCAATTAACCTAAAAGTATTTTTTTGCTTGGACTGGAGACCTGGAAAGAACCTACACATGCACAGGAAGAACATGCAAACACCATGCAGAAAGACCCTGGTTCAGGAATTGAACCCAGAACCTTCTTGCAGCAAGGCACAGTGATACCCACTGCTACACCATGCAGCAGCCTTGTTCCTCAAAATCAAATTAATTTTCTCATAATAAGAGTGATCTTATTCATTTTTTTTTTACCCCGCCATTTGTAGTTAGATTGGAAACAGTGTGACAGCTGCTTGAAACTAGAATGACTTATATTCTGCCTTGAACCACTTTCCAATATATTCCAAAAGGGCTGATTCTATCTACAGTAGGGAAATGTGGTGGTCAACAGTATCAATGGTAGTAACACTCATAATAAGGAAGGGTTCTGATAGAGAAGTTTATATTTTGGATAAAATATTCACCAGTGCGTTTTTTTTGTTTTGTTGTTGTTGTGAGATTCTTTCAAAAGCATTATAAGTATATCCAAGTATAACCAAGTATATATATGGTTTTTGAGGTTTTCCTTGCTTTAGCACAGCTGATTGTGATGATTGCAGTCGAGCAAGAGCCTGTTAATCAGCTGTCAATGGAAATCAGCTGTGCTGACACAGGAAAACCTCTAAGACCTGCAGGACTGCGGCCTTCAAGGACCCATACCAGATTCAACTATTTGAAAATAAGTTTATTTGAAATTTTTCTAAAATACAAGCCTGGAATCGGTCATACAATAACTGGGTTCACTGGCATTATTTTTCTAAATATTAGATTTAGAAAATCAAATATATTTAAAAAGTGTTTTTGTCCCTATGACTGGTGAATAGGAATAAAGTCAAACTTTTGTGGCTTCATGGTTATTATTTTAAATGAAGGAGCCCACTTAATTTTTTTCAAAAATCCAGCAG